CAGCCACTACTTTATCTACTTTATTAACTACTTTATCTCCAACAGTTTGATTGTGTTACAGGCACAACACACTGAATGTTCTGTGACTGGTTGATTTGCATGTCAGTCAAATAGTGCTTTCCTGTTCTACTTGGTCTAACGAGCCTGTATTTCAGTGCAGTTTCACACAGTGGACGTGGTTTAATCTCGTCTAGTATTTCCCCACAAATAAAGTACTTTGGGCTCTGAAATGAGAAAAAGTGATTTTTACTCTCTCCTCCTGCCTGTTCACTGCAGTTTTACCACTGCTGTATTTCAAGCCCTGTCCTAGTCGACTATTCTGTGCAACCCCTAGCATGTGGACATGTACTCTAAATCCTCATGCACTTATGTCCAAATGCTTTGAGTTGTTAAGTAATCTCAGATGGACTTGCTTAAGTGCTTTCTGACACTTCAGGACGCAATGTTATCTATGAAAATGGGCAAAGGTATGTCGCATAGCTAAAAATGGTAGTAGCATCCATTTTGAGGCCTGAATTTCCATTTCCAGTCCTTAGGTAGTAGAGCTGTCACGATCATAAAATTTTAGCTGAGGATTCATTGTCATATAAATAATTGCAATTAATGATTTGTCATTTTATGCAACTATCAATAATGTTCAAGTCTAAAGCAGCTAAGTTGGTTAATAGCTATCTTGTTCTTAGCTCTTTACTTTGCAGCTAACAGGAGATGATACACTTCACTGTAGTGTGCGTAACAAGTGTCTACACCAAAGCTGACATTTTATCTTGATACTGTGAAAATATGAGTGAAAAACACTTATTCTGCAAACATACATGCTAAAATTAGCTTGTTGTGATACAACATGATTGTAAAGCCTAATGACTGTGGAACGTGATTGCCTCTGGGTTAAATAATTGCGATTAATCAAATAACCGCAAGTTTTCATTACAAACAAGTGAAGGCACAACTGATTTTACTTGTTTAATCAATTAGTTAAGGTCTCAAACAACTGATGTGATGTGAACTGGTGTGAGGTTAGAATAAAAACTTATATCCATGCCAACCCTTGGTTTTCAGTCATTTCTGACCATTCAGCTATTCTTATAGTAAGCACACGTATTTCACTGAACAGAATCTGCGATCTGCTACGTTTGTATTAATGGAAAAACTGTGTAAATTTGACGTTTGGCTTGACTACGCCTTAAGAAACTCTAAAAATTTATAACAGCCAGCAGCCCAAATCCTTCCTATAGGAGAATGGCATGGTAAAGCAGATGCTATAGCAAATGATGGATTTATAAGTTGGTTTAGGCCAGAAACTGAGAACTTCAGGAGGGCTCTCATACACATATACGCAGAAAAATCTGTAACCAGAGATATACTGAGAGCTGATACGTGGTGAAGATACCAATGCACTCTCTCTCTCTCTCTCTCTCTCTCTCTCGTTCGCTCTCTCTCTGAAGGGAGTAACACTGCGGTCAGGAGACACAAGCCTGGCTCGCACTGCATCTCCTCCTGAATATCAATGTGATAAACAGCTCCCCTGTGAGAACAGACCTGAACTGTACGAACAACTGGTGGTTGAGAGACAAGAGGCGCAACGAAACTTTATAGTTCCTGCTCAAACAGACGATAGGAGCTACAAAGAACCACGAAGGCTGTTAATGGATCTCTCTGTCTTTGTAATTTTATGTGGGTGCTGTTTCAGCTGATAATAATAATCTAATGTCTCTAATTTTCTGCCCGTTGGAAGCGTGGCCAGGAAATGTTTTGGAAACCAGTTGCGGAGTGATTTTAAATGACTGATTGAAAGTAATAAGAGGTAATGAGATATTAATATTGATATGGTGCTCATGATGAACGGACCTGATGCACTCTGGATGGCCTCTGCAAATGCAGTGCTATGTCAATACGAAGAATGTGTTTATGTGTTCTCTTTCTTTTATCCCTCTGTACTAACAGATACTCTTTAGCTTGATGCTCTAGACTGGAGAGGCAGGGACGAGCTCAAGATGTTACACCACAAAGTCAAACAGCATCACTGTTTCCCTCAGCTCTGCACACAGCTTTAGAGGTGATAACTCACACAGTGACAGTCACACTTGCTTGGGTAGCCTAGGTGAAGTCTAGAGAAGTCAGTGACCATTCAACTGCCTCTATAGCAGTGGGGAACCCTCATGGCCTTCTAAGCTTGCAGAGAAGACCAAATGATTTCTGTGAAATAAAAAATAAGTGTCTGTAATTTTTGGTTCATGTTTATTTAATACAATCTTAATGCATGTTGTATTTAAACTCATTCATTTTAAAGCTACACTATGTAAGATTCAGGGATTTTGAGACTTCTCTAAAACGTAACATTGGTTGTGTTTCAGGTACCTTCCTCGAGCAGATAGTTCTGATGATTATGAGCTCGTTGAAAGAACATTTAAAGAGAACTCAAAGCATGTCTTCTGATGATGTAAGTGAATTATTTACTATTTACATCAGTATTATGCTGATTTTGCATTTGAGGCCTAAACATCAAGCCAGGCCTTCTTGTGTCCCCTGACTCAATAATGCTACTTCTTTTAGTTTTTTACAAAAAACTTACATAACGCAGCTTTAATTTTTGATTAGAAACATAAGGGTTAAATTCTCAAAATGCTTTTTTTCTCCAGTGTCTAGGTAGATCCAGCTGAGAGAGCCCTGTCATTGGTTAGGACTTAGGCACAAGACTTGAGGCCTTACATGTCAGAGTAAGTGCTAATACAGGAAGTGAATGCTCTTTTATTGAACTCAGCAGCAGGGAGGGGGAAACTGCCGCTCAACACTGGCTGATACGGCCGGGAAGCAGGTAGTTCACTTCTAACCACACATTTCCTGTACATTTTAGATAGCAAACTCATGCAAACTACCCCACAGCCCAGCACAATATAAGACAAACAACCCTCAAACACATCTTTTAGCTAACAACATCATCCTATCTACAACCAAAGTCTCTCCCGCTGTGAGAGTGGCACTCCCGTGAGGCTCTGCAGGTAGCTTCTCTGCATGGCCATGCCCCCTGCGCGTCTACGGACAGTAACGGGTCGCTACAATATTTGGGAAGTGACACTAACATTTTACTAGAATCTCATAGAAGCACTAGCAGAAATTAGCATTACTGTAGAGATCTATTCTGACCGAATTTTGAAATTTGTGGCCCAAACTGAAGAGCTAGCTCTACAGTCATGGTTCGGCACTGCTCTACGGTCAGCACAGCTATGATATTATTACACTCTTTATATAACAGCACCAAACAGGAATGGCAGTTTTTTGAGACATTTGGAGTGATTTTGTTGGTAATATGCTAGGCTGCCCTTCAAGAGGGTGGTCCTGAACTTTCTGAAGAGGCAGATCAGAGATTTGCCTCTTCAGAAAGAGGGGAGATTTGTGTCTGCACTGGTGGTTTGAGGGATAAAGTGTGCATAGTGTGATGGTGTCTTTATGGCTCTTATAAATCTTTTAACCTCTATCAACACGTATACGAGCGTGGGTGCTTATGAATGGCCTGCAAATCTCCAATTTCAACAGGAACCAGCTGTCCCCTTTGTCCTCTGGAGGTTAGGAGACAGTCTGAGCACGTCCACCAGGAGAGCCGTGCTGGGCCATAAGCTTTGATGCTATAACTTAAACCCACTGCCCATGAATAAACCAACAGGTGCTATAGGGGAGAAGGAGAGAGGGAAGAGGGTGATGAGATGGATGTGAGTGTGTGATTTGCACCTGATTTCAAAATTGTTGACTCAGCCATTGTTGCTATGAGGCTGACAATTCTTCTCATGTGACTAGCTTATATTATACATAGCACTTGCTACCTCTTGCTTGTGCAATTATTTGATGCAAACATGAACGATGTTAAAAATTTTTTTTAAAAATACTCAGACCTTATGTATTTACAAGGAATATATTATCATCTATTTAAACCCAATGCATTAAATTTTTTATTAAAAATAAAGATTTCCCATGTTTTCATGTCACTATCAAAACACAAAGAGTTTTAGTCCATAGGCGGAGCCCTATTTTAGCCACACCCTTGCATTTTACAGCAGGAAGTGAGACTGCATCCCTGTTAGATCCCATTGTTTTGAAATAAATACACCCCAAAGTCTGAAAATCAGTGTGTAACATTAAGGTCATTACCGAAACACATATTTCTAAGTAAACATATTAAGTAAACTTTTTAAATATTGAGATTATTATATCATGATTTTATGTGTGTACAACTGTTGTAAGGACAGAATGTTCAATCATTTATTTCAATAAAATAAACATAATTTAAGCTACAGAGTCATTCAAAGCAAAAGTATTTTAGTCTCAAGCCAAAGTCCGTTAAAAGTCTAAAATGTATTTTGACCTCTGACTTTAGAACACTTCAGTAGAATAATCCATATATAGAAAACTAGAAATTAAATCAAAATAAAACAATTCCCAACAATATATAGCTGTTAAAGTTAATATCGCATTTACGTGATAAATTATTGTTGGCACTAATTTTTTAATGCTTTTTCCTAGTTTGACTCTTTAACCACCCGCAGCGGTCCAGCTGCTTGTGTGCTGTATGTTGCTATAATACAGCTTTTAAAGCAATAAGTATGTTTTCAGGCGACTCGTAGGTAGATCTGATTTCTTGAGGCTTTGACTTTGAGGCTTTTGTACAAACCTGTGGATTCTACATCACCTCGGGTGCATGCTGTCTTTAAAGCAAAGTGGCGACAAATTCTAAGATATTGTGAAATTCATGCCAGTATTTCAAAAACTTTTCACTCAAATGATTTTCCTACAAAACTTTTTAACTTTGTATTAAATTAGAAAACAGTGCAAAACAAGCATTTTCACTAGTGGTCTCAGACTTTTGGAGCCCACTGTACATTCTACTTTTGCGTTCAACTGTAGGTAAGCAGACCTCCTGCCATGAGATACTGTCATTGAGGAGGCCCAGACTCCAAAACAACAATCATCCAGAGAGATCAGCCATGTCTGAAGTGTCATTCACTCACCAAAGTCCTTCTTGCAGTATTTCTTCATGGTGACCTTCAGTTTGCCCTTAGAGGCTTTGCAGTGAGAATCACAGTCTGTGGAAGCAGAAGAGAAAAAAAATGAGGCATGAGGTTTATGACAAAAGAGCAAATGAAGATCTCAATAGACCTGCTCCATTTAGCATTGTGTGTTTCAGATCATTTTATGGGACTCGGATCCATTGTGGCCAGGGATCAAACCCAACTTGCTAGACATTTTTTTGAATTCTGCTCTGCATTCCTGCATCCTTAGAAGCTGGAATTTTATGCTTGCGAAAAAATGTCTTGGCAAATTCAACTTGTTTACCTGTTTTCCAGTTTGTCTTAGCATATTATATCCAGCTCTCCATTTGCTCATATCTGTACCATGCTGTAAAATGTTAAATGATTCTATGGCCCGTCTGCAATCCATGCATCCAATCTCACATCATACATGCCTTCAGTGAGAGTGCCCCAGTAGAAAGGACTGAGGCTTAAACTCAACCATTGTCAGTTCCTCTCTAACCCTTATTATCCAGGCCAGTCTCTCCACCACCCCCCCACCCCAGACCCAACATTAACCATGTCAGTGCAGGGGGTAAGGAGGTCATTTAAACTCAAAGGAAAGCCACTGAGAGGGGTGGGAAGCACCGCCGAGAGTTCTCGTCTGCAAGGCCCTCAATTTAATTCAAATCAACTGAATTAAATTAAGCCACGCTCCATTCACTTGGTCTGTACGAACCCGGTAGAGTGGATCCTGGTCTGAATGGAGCATGCTACGTATCGACTCACTGTCAGATCCGACTCCAGGACCTATGATTAATAGCTCCTGCGCTCAGCACGTCCATTTGAAACCACCGCGGCGTCCCAAGCTCCAAAATGTGCCAGAAGGCCTCGTCGATGGCTGCCGTCGTGTTGGGTCGATGCCAGACACCTTTTGGATGGAGGCCGGGCTCAAATGAGGCCAGACAGAACGGTCCCCTCCGACATCTCTCTCCTGACTGACACAAATTGGAACCAGAGAGTCTCTCGGTGTGGCTACCTCACATAGCGGTAATAACTTGGAGGTTTCTCATTTTTGGAAGACTGGGGGGAGGTGGTAGGGGGGTTGGAGGACTGGGAGAGCGAGTGGACAGAAGGAGGAGGAGAAGGAGTGAGGGGAGATGGGAGAGAGAAGACCTTTCAGCTTTTCGCCTGAATATGGACAAACTTCATTATTTTTTTCCAGGGCCTCTGTTCAGCCCTCCCTTTTCACGGCCCTTTCTATTCCGTGTGAATGAGGTTGCCTGGGCGATGGCGAAGCGGGAAAAAAACGCCACCCCGAAAAAGAAGTTTGAAGGGGGAGGAAGAGGGGGTGATAAGGTTGGAGAAGGGGGGTGGAGCGGGGGTAAAAGAGAGAGAAATAGAGGATAAGAGCTAGAAAGGTTTAGAGAGAAAGAGAGATGGAAAGAGAAAGTGAGAGGTAGTGAGTGTGGTGGGAGAAAGAGTCAGGAAACATATATAAGAAAGGTGTCTTCCCATCTTAGGTGGAAAACTGTGTTGGAAATGTGGAGGAAGTAGCTGGGGGCAGGGGACGAGGGAAAGTAAGCAGTGGAGAGGGAGGGAAATCCTAAAGTAAATGAATTTGATGAGTCCATATCAACCACGCCTGATTTCCATGTAAATGTGCGGCGGGATGGGAGAGCTTTGTGCGCCCGCAAACCCCATCCGCCCCCATCCTGCCTCTCTTTGATATGCCCGGGCTGCCATTAGGCGGGCCACACAAAGCCCGGCGCTGCCCATCACACCCACGGCCCTCATTAACACCCGGCCCCCGCTGGGAGACAAACGCCTGCTTTGTGGAGCCTCTCAAGTGAGGCCATGCTATAGTCAGCTGCTCCGCCAGGGGACCACACCAGAGGTTTTATTCAACACACACAACCACTGCTGCGAAACCAAGGGAAGGTTCCAAGCCTTTCTCTAGACCAGTGGTTCCCAAACTCCAGTCCTGGGGAACTACCAGTGAGCAATAATCAGGGCCTTCTAGGCTTTTAAAGAAGGTATAATGATTTCTGGGAATTAAAAAATACTTGTCTGTTATTTTAGTACATCATGCTTGTTATACTGTATTGTATTAATACTTTTATTTCATTGGTAGGTTTTGGAAACATAAGGATTAGATACCAAAAGTCCAATAGAATGTTGTCCAATCAGAATTTCTTTTCCTGTGATATCAAGTACATAGAGTGAAGTGAGTTTTCCCATAGGTTAGGCCTTGTGGAGCTGGACAGAATGCCTTAAATATCAGACTGTCAACATAATTAGAACAGGAGTGGATGGAACCAATTTGGTGAGCAAAAAATGTCACTCTCGGCTTTCTAAAAGTCTTAGGCACATCACTGAGTGTGAAGAAGCAAGGAGCGATTTCCCTCTCATTCCAGTGCAGTAGGCAGGACAGGACAGGGTGACTGAGAGGCCATTTCTGGACATCTCTAGCATCTAGTTTTAGTTGTGTAATCAGGGTTTGGTAGAACATTTGGACACAATGTGCATTACTAACCTCCTGTGAAGCTGACAGTGACCAACCTGCAGAGATAATAAGCATGAAAAGCAGTGCTAACGCACCATCTCCCTGCTAATTCTGCACACTCGAAAACTCCACGGTGAAACAAATGCATGCAAATGAAGCATGTAATCAGATTAAGATCCCTGCTAGCCTTTGGGTGGCGGGGGCTTTGGATGTTCTAAAGACTCATACAGAGAACCCAACAGTTAGAATGTCAATACAATAGAGCCAAGAAATGCTTCCCTACGTCATGTAACAGTATCAAATAGATCCCACAGTGAGGGGTTATGTGGAACATGTCTGGGCAATCTGGATTCGAATAGGGACTATTGTTTCTTGTTTGATATGCATGTTGCATTTTCCATCATGGAAAAAGTAAACCATGTACAGATGCTACTGAGAAGGAAGCAGATCAACAGCAGAAAAGCAAGAAGATTAAATAAATCACAACTGAAGCTGGCATCCTCCTACCCAGAACATTCTCTTGAGCCAGCTGCGACAGTTCACAGAGGAATAGTTTCATTTTTACCAAATAGTCTCCTGAATTTTAGTCATGTTCAGTTCTACTCGCTAGCTATGTCTCCCCTGTCACACAATGCTACCAAGAGAGGATGAAGGTTACTGTGCTTTCTCTGAGACAGGTGAAGCCAGCGTCTGCATCTTCTTGAACTACTACTAGTGCAGCATTGTTGGACAGCTCAGCATGCTTGGAGGAGAACACTAATTGCTGATTCTGCATCAGCTAACAGATGGCCGCTTTGGCTAGCATTTCGTTGAATGATGTGAGAAGAGGAGTGGCCACCCTACCCACTTAGAGAGAGAGAGGCCAATTATGCTCTTTTGGACTCTGAGGATGGCTGTGGATTAAATTAGTGACCCCCTGACAACAAGGCAAAAGCCCTATGATAAAAGTTAGAAAGTTATTTAAAACTATGCAAATGAGATCATATGCTATATTTGCAAAGGGATCCAGACTCCCCATCTAATAAGTGAATTTGGCTAGTTTAACCAAGTAATGTCTATATCTGAAAATTTAAATTTCCTTTGGTATGTACGTTCTCGAGCTTGGCTAAGCACATATCTGATAAATATTCATCAGTCAAACTATATGGCTAAAAAATGTAGAGTTTTTATCACTTAATTTAGAATATTAAAATGAATCTTTTGGTCACATGGGACTTTAGCAATATTATCTGTGAATAAAATTCTGAAAATTACATGTAACTACATTTAAATCAGAACAACATCCGTGGCATTTTTCCTTATTGTACTACATTTAGTACACATGCCTACGGCCACCATACCCCATACCAAATGTTGGCTAGAGGGATACAAAGCCCCCAGCACTAGGCTGTGGAGCAACAGAATGGAGGAAGCACTATCCAGTACCTTTGGAAGGAGTTGAAAAAGTATTGATTCAGCACTATTCATCCAACATCAGTATCTGACCTCGCTAATGTTCTTGTGGCTGAATGCAATCAAATCCTCACAGCAATGTTCCAACATCTAGTGTAAAGCCATCTCAGAAGAGTAGAGGCTGTTACAAAATCCCTGTTGATCCCTTTGATTTCAAATGATAGACTGGATAAGCAGATGTCTACGAACATTTGAACACACAGTCTACTTTCCTGTCTCATTTTCATTCATTCTTTTCCCCGTTGGCAGTTTTGGATGAGTATTGTATCCTTTGACCAACAGCAATGACCTTGCAAAAGATGGAACCTCTGTCCTCAAGCAGACGGTTTATCAAACTAATAAACTTCTTTTTTAAACTCACCTGTTGGTTCTTCTGAACTGCTGTAAGTGGCGGTGGGGGAGGCCACTGGAATCTCTATTAACAAGGACGAAACAAAACAGAGACAATCAGTAACAACAAACTACTCAATGCCACATCTTTTTCTGTTCCTTGAGATTTCCTATTTCAGAGAATACTGGAAGAACACTTAAATTGTACTTCACTTCAAGGCCTTCATGTATTGTGCAACATAATGATTTATTAAGACACAGAGAGTCTCAAGGCCCCTTTTTAATAGACATGTTATTGATCACTGATGAAAATGCATGTATTTGATTTTATTAGGTTTCCTGCTCAAAGCCCACTCTTCGCTCTTTGCAGTGTTGGCTATTGTAAGCTATCCGCCGCCAGGGGATCCAGCGGCCATTAAAACTGCAGTTGGCACAACGTCCGACATCACAAAAAATTTCATATCGACCTATTAAAACTAAAACACATTATCTCGCAAAATATATGAGAAACCAAATCTTTGCAGCTCAAGCACTGGGGCTTGCGCTCCAGGTTTTACACTAGATTTGTTACTTTCCCAATGAAAGGAAGGGAAACCTAATTCCATGGGGTTCATAGGTTTCATTTCGCTTTAGTGGAAGCTTGCCAAACATATCAGAGCGGTTCCATATCCGAGATAGCTTTGACCGAAGGCCAGATTCATCGTTATTGACGACATTGTCCATTTAAATACGGCAGAATGGTAGAGGTTAATGCTAACTGCCCCTCATTGTGTCGTGCTCCCAGGAAATTATCTTATCGAGCAATGCCAGTGGGGAAGGGCTGGGTGCCAGCTTCCCCTCACTGCGGCCCGCTGTGTGGTCCTGCCGTTTATCACCACGGAGATGGAATCTGCAGCCTTGTTGATACTGCCAATGAACATATCACCAATCATGGTTTTGGAGCAGGCCGTTAGATTCATGGCTTGATGGGCCATCAGCAAAGGCCGGGGGCACACCAGGCCACGTCGGTCGGGCCTATATAGTCTGTTTGCTTTAGCACAGGTCAAATAGCAAGATGTCCATCTGAGGAAATAATGGGATTGGGAACAGGGGCGGGAATGAATAGAGCCAGGCCATGAATTCATGAATAATAAGTGTTTATGTAAACTGTTTTTAGGGGTGTTATCCATTGGATACCTGTGGGAGTACTTGAGGGATTGCAACAATAACTCGATTTGGAGTGCTCTGAGCTAATGTTTGTTTAAAGGTTTGTTTAATTTGTGAACGTTTTTATTGGCACTGTCATCTCTCAGTGTCTTGTTAGTGTGGATGTTCAAGGTCACACCTGTTCAGAACTACGAAAATGACAGAATCTATGGAGGTAAATACGAAATAATGACTGTTTCTTCAATCGCTTAAACTGCAAGTGTTTGTATGTCCTTAAGTAACAATCCTTATTCTGACCAAACATTCTGCATAATTCAATCATTGAGTTGTAAGCATAGTAATTCAGAATGGGTTGATGTAAAACTTACAAGTCACATTTCTTAACGGTGGTGGTGATAAGAACCAGGGGTCACAAATTAAATACATCTCATTCACTGTCCAAAGTCTACACGTCTTCCCAGTTTATATATGCAACGTTTATAATGGTAACATTTTTCTTTGGGAGTATTTTGCCTTACAATGCCATGCATGTACCTCTCTGCCATAAATACATTAAGATATATATATTTTAGGCCAAAACTTTATCTCAAAACTGTTGAGGCAATGTCTCAGGCAATGTATTCATAACTATTTCATGTAATAATTTTCTGTGAGGGAGCTTTTAGAAGCAAACTCTTCAGACTTCTGGTTCCACTGTAAACAATTCTGAGTAAGTTTTCTTCTAAGGTAAGTTTCTCTAGAATAGAGCATTTCACATCATTAATTTGAAATTTATTTAAGCATAATTTCTGAGAAATTGGTGGAATTCCCCTATAAGAATAATAACGGAAAATAAGCCAATAAGCAAAATGCGCACATACAACATCTTAGCTTAATTAAAACACCATTCTTCAAATGCTCTCTTCAAACATGGCTAAATTTCCTATTAGGATATACATTAGAGCTTAACTATTCCATGTTTAAAGTTTGTTGTCTGTTAAAGGGGAATTCAAACAATATTTCTAAATTTCTGTATAATTTAATCATTTAATCAAGTATAATTTAATCATTCAATCAAGATACAACATTTCTAGAGAAACTTACTGAGTCAGAACTGTTCACAGTGGTGGTGATAGGAACCAGACGTCCACCTCTAAAAGCTCCACGGAAAGTTATACTATGAAATAGTTACAAATAGCATTTCATGCCTTGAGACATTATTTTACAGTAGATCTGAGACATATAAAATGTTTTTTAAATACTTTCATGATGGAGGGGTACATGCAGGACATTATAAGGCAAAACTGTTCCTGAGGAAAACTCATTTTTTCAGATTTACTATTTTTCACTATCATCAAAAAGAACATATAAAAACTGAGAAGACACGTGTAGATCCACTGGTCATTTTTGATAATAAATAAAATGGCTATTTGCATTGTAGACATCATGACATCTGGCTTCTATTACCAGCAAAAATATACCAGTGAATAATTTTCACCTCACACCACTCTGAACCACTTTGTTTATGTCTCACTGATTGAATTGTGCAGAAAATTTGAAAAGTTGATGGAATCGCCCTTTAAGGCCTTGTACGCCATGGTCACTCCAGTGAAGCAGCACATGGATGTATCTCTTTTCTTTTTGTTAGTTTATTGCTGGTTGATTGTCAGTAGGATAAGTGAGAGAGAGTCTTACTGATGCAGGGGGCAATGGGTGAGCGGCTCTGCTGGTAGCCTTTAGCACAGCGGTTGCAGGTGATGCCCGTCACGCCGTCTTTGCACGGGCACTGTCCTGTAGTCTGATTACATGTCTTTCCCGCAGCACCAACTGGATGGCAGTCACAGGCTGGAAGGAGAAAAAGACATGAGAGAGCTCTAAAGCTTTACACATCTCAATGGTGGGGATAAATCTTTGATCTCACGATAATTACACTCAGTTATGATTCTTTAAACACTTCAATGCTTCATGACATGATTGATTTTACAATTTTACATCAGCAGCAGTGATGCCAACCAATCAGCACTCAGTAGCACTAATGCTAATCAATCAGCACCCAGTAGTAATGTCAGCATCCTAGCGTCCATCTGTCTACTTTCTAAAATTATAGGAAGGTCTAGGATAATTGGTTAGACCTATTCTAATATTTTGTTTTTAGACGTTTAGCTCCATTTATCCCCATTCATTTAGGACTCGCATGCAGGCCACCTCTGGAATTTGGAGTCATTTTTTTGGTATAAAACTTAAACTGTCTCTGCTGCAGCTTTGTTGCTAACTAGGCTAACTACACTAACTACTCAAGCTGATGTAAGCTAAGCACAGGACATATATTTCTTGAAGAAACTATCATGTTTGCAAATCGTCAGACCCGGATCATCCAATGGGTCTTATGGGCGTGTGTCCACGAGCCCGAGTTGCTAGGGGGCCCGCATGAGCAATTATGAGAAAATCTAAACCTCTGTTCTGATTCGTGGTGGGAACTTCACTAATGACACAGCGATAAAAATGAACTAGCACCATATTAGAGTAGAAGATGTCCATTTTGAAAGGCAAATATAAAATGTCAACCACCCGAGTTAAAAAGTTGATTTATCCTTGTTGGTGGTGATCTGCGTCATCAAAGGTAAGATATAAATGGAAAAAACCAAACATTTCCACACTCACCAAGTACTTTTCAACTGTCTGATTTTAATTTACATTGCCATCCTTGGGGTTAATGTTTTGCTTGTCAAGAACAGATGCATGCTTTATAGGGAAATGTTACATTGGTTGTTGGGTTTATGTTAAACTGTGTTCTCATTAATCTGCATAATCTTGCTACTGTTTTGTCTCAATTGGAAAAAAAAAAGTGCTCATATTGGTGACACTGTGGTTAGTATGCTGTCACTGTGGTGCGGCATAGGCCTTGTTTAACTTGCTGTGATATCCTAACAAAATCACTGACCACCCAGGAGCCCATAACTTGATGATCCAGGCCTGCACATCATCCACTCAACAGAAAATATCTCATGTAAGACGACGAGTCCTCATCGGTGTCCAGTGTTGTGGTAGTTAGCTGTGGTTGTAGCTCACATCTGAAGAAGGAGCCTCTGTTACTCATCCAACATGAAAACTACCAATTTTCCTCAGCATTTTTAATAATCATGCCTTCAAATGTATTCCTCTTCATTCTGCTAAATTTTTGTACTACTGATTTTTTTAGCCTAAGCCCTTGGGTCCTATATTAATTTCTGTGTATTTTATTATATAAAAAACATCCCACTGTCACAAAATTAAGTTTGGTACCGTCACACATAGTTTTATTTGGCCAATAAAGAAATTAATTTCAACTGAATTTCTAGTTCACAGACTGTCCATTAGGAATTTATAGTCATCTGCAAATGTTTGGGCGCCCCTGGTCAATTTTCTTTTCAAATAGTGAACTAAAATCTGCTATAAAATACCATATATAGGTGTGATCTTTGTAGAGGATGTGCTAACTTATTTTCACTTAAAAAATTAACAAAACACAATTTGATCAGATGCGTTCAAACTTTTGCAGACAACATTATGCTTTAACATTCTGAATGAAATGGATGAGGGAAAAAAAAACATAGAATGAATGGCAGACACCAGGACCAAAAACCTCAGCAGCGTGAACACATGCATCACTGCAAATTTTCTGAAAGATTTGCATCATATAAGAGGAACTGTAGTGGAAACTTCAACTTAATGGAAATTCTCCATTGCTCTTCATGAACGCACGTGTGGAAGCTTAAGCTTTGGCTTGTTTAACCTCCCAGAGCTAGATGTGCCCTCTGAGCTGATAGCCAGTCTGGAACTTTATTTGGAGAAACCACAAAACCAGAAACCTCTATTTGACATTGTTCTGCTGTGCCGTATGAACAGTTATGGCCTGCACCTGTGAGTGTTTTGAGTGCGTGTGAGTCTGGTTAGAGTCTGCCCAGTGGTGTGTGTGTCTGTTTTTTTCCTAGTTTCTAACTGGCGTGTATGGGGACTGCCCATTGCGTGCCTGAATGAGTGTGCGTATGTGTGTGTGAATGTCTGTAGGTGTCTGGTTTTTGCTTGTTATATACAGTACTGTGCAAAAGTCAGAGACCACCCTTCATTTATGACATTTCCAGTCAAAACAACCATTAGGCAAAAATTATTCAACAGTTCTTCAGCTATCAGGAGAAAAGCAGAAAATTACACAGAAGCCTCAACATCTAAGTATAATAAATATAAATGTTTTCAGTATTTAGTGTGTCCACTAATACGGCTTCCATTCCTAACGGGAGACTTGCTTTCAGTTTTTCAAAGAAATCTGCAGAGATGATTTTCCACACCTCAAAGTTCAGTCTTAGAAGTTGGCTGTACATTCAGTAATTTTGTTTTTGGACTCTGAGGTGGTCAGTCCATTGTTCTGAGAACATCAGCAGCTTATTTGTTTGATTTGCGAATCTTCTTCTTTGTTGTCCACCTCTTTTTTCTCAGTAACGGCTTTTTGACAGCTACACATCCTTTCAGACTCATAGTGTTGTCTTCTCACAGTAGAAGGATGGACAGAAATACCTGTGGATTGCTTCAGATCTACAGTAAGAGTGGAGCTTGATTTTCTCCTCTCTCTCAAAGATGAAAGTTCTGTTTATCTGATGGTGATTGAGTTCTGAGTTGAGTTGAGATGAGTTTTGGTGGTCTACCAGGTCTTGCACGGTTGTTATAAGTTGCATTTTCTCTATATCTTCTGAAAAATTTTTGAAATCTGTTTTTTTACTTCCATTGACTTTCCTCTTCCTTATATATGGGTGGATTATCTAGTACTAATCTTCTCAGAAACATCTGAAAAAATAATATCTTGTACTTAACGGTCACTGTAATGAAGTTTAACCCCTGACAAAGTTTTATTACACACTTCTATAACCTAAGAATAGCTCAACCAGTTTGCCCTGAAGTCCCTGTAGTCACTGAATAATAAGCCTTAGTAGTAGTATGTAGTAAGCCTGGGATTTCAAGAGGTTAATAAATAAAGGGTGATCTCTGATTTTGGATGCTTCTGTATATGTATGTATATGCGTCAGGGCTAAGCATGTGTGCATGTCGTCACCACAAGTACAAAGCCTTGTATCTCCATTTTTGTCATTTTTTTTTTTTTATATATATAACATGATTGGAAAACACCAGCTGGCCTTTACATTTGGTCAAAATTTCATGACAAATGGACCAATAAAAATGGTCCAAAATTAACTTTCATTAAAAGTTACATTTTTTCCTCCTCCTCTAAATTTACCACTTTAGGGATACAAGCTTTTGTTCTGACAGCGGTGATATGTTGGTGTTGGGTTCTTTCTTGGTAGGCCTACACATGTGTGCTTCTCTGGCCTGATATATGTATGTGTGTGAGTGTGTGTGTATTAAAAGCCTTTGCTCTCTGCTGTAGGGTTGTGATGTGCCCCATAGGCCGTTCGCAGGCCGCTCTGATCGAGTTTCCAACGTAAAGGCTCTTGGCAGGCGCGGCCCCCGCAAATAAAGGCTGAATAACGTTCCCCATTAATGGGGCAGCGCGGAGTACTTCAAAGCCGCTCTGCTTAAGCTGTTAGTCAGGAGGATCGCACATTAAAAGTGAGAATTTCGTTGCGTGCTGGCGCTGCCCAACGTTTACCATAAAGCTGCATGTTTGAAGTTCCAGCCCAGCTTTCTTCATCAGGCCGGTAGGTTTTTATGGAGCCGAGGAGTAATTTGAAAACAGCTTGAAACGGGCAAGCCTCGCGAACTCTGTTGAGCCGTTAGCGGGGAACGAGAGACGCTCGTGAAGATCAGAACTCCCTGGCCGAATTAAACGAGACAATGGACGAACTTTGTTTTTCTGAGGCCGAGTCTGAGGGAGCTGTTTCCAAAACTTTCCAACAACACACCTTCTTTTTTCATTTACTACTCTTATACAACGTTGAAACTGGTAAACAAACAAACAAAAAAATCACACTTTCCATGCTAAATTAAATCCAGTCCCGTCAGCCGTCAACAGCACTAGAGTGCAACTATGAGATCATGAAACAGACATTGTTTTTCCTCCCACCATCGCCCTTTCCAACAAGAACATAAATTACGTTCCTCTGACTTACTCTGATGTGAAAATCCTTTCTGAGTGGATGCAGAGCCCACATTAAGTAATATAGGATAATTACGAATTACAAAAACAATGGGATGGGACCGTGACCGAAACCAAATGAGAGCGGCTGGTGGAACTAATTTCAGACATCCTCTGGATGAGGCTGTATGTTTTCACAGACTACAGCGCTTGTGGGAAGAACAAGCGAACGCTCTTGAAAACAGCAGTGCCAAGAAGCGTTCTTCGGAGCAATGCCATAGGAGAACCACTTCTGATTCCCTAAAGAACATTTCAGTTCATGGTTCTCTGAAGAGAAACACTTTTGTAAACAAAATGTGAGAGTATGAAAAATATTTTTAAAGGTTTGGGGAATCACATTACATAAAGGTTCTATAGCAATTAAAGTTTTCCTAGAACTGTAAGGCAAAAGCATAGTAGCCTTTACTTTTTAAAGGGGCATTTCAACCTAAAAGTAGCACTCTTTTTGCATGGCTGTCAAACAGTTAAAATAATTCACAGCAATAAATTGCATTTGTCTGCATAGTTTAGCTCAAATTTGAACCTAAAGATTTTCTCCATTTAAAAGCAGTGCATTTTGTTGTACTTATGACAGGACAAAGTAAGTTTCATTAGAATGTATATCGTCGCTATCAAAAAAAAATCTCCAAAATAGTAACTTTACAGGAGAAGGCAAAAACACTCACTCATGAACTTTCAGTGTAAGTTAATTTATTTCATTCCAAGTGATTTTAGAGCATTT